GAAATGAAAAGCCATTATAATTCCTAAAAATTAACATAAAAATTTCACCCATATTTTAAGAATTTAAATACTCTTATGAGAGAATTTATGAATACTTGGAGGGCAAGAAGTGAAAAATATTCAACAAAACATACATTAAAATAAAAAATTCATAGAAAATGACAGCAGTATAGAAAAAAACCCTTCCTGGCATATGCTAATTCAACTTGCTCTAATATACACATGAATCAAAGCCAGTTGTTACTAATGATAAAGATTAAGACAAAAATATGTGTTCTAAATATACTTCAAATTTTAAAAAAATTTGCTGACACACTATATATAAAAGGTTATTTAACTGTAAATATTCTAGGTGAAAAAGAAACATAAATGACTTCTTAAAATTCACCTATATTTTAACTTTGAAAACAATTAAGAATGAGAAGAATTCATTTTAGGGATTCTTTTAAAGTATTCTCTTTTTTTATTTTTTATTTTTATTGATTTCAGAGAGGAAGGAAGAGGGAAGGAGATAGAAACATCAATGATGAGAGACAATCATTCATTGGGTGCCTCCTGCACACCCCCTATTAGGGATCGAGCCTGCAACCCAGGCATGTGTCCTTGAACCTGGGACCCTTCAGTACACAGGCCAACGCTCGATCCACTGAGCCAAACTTCTTAGGGCTAAAGTGTTCTTTAAAAATGATGTCATTTGTTACAGTTCATATAGTCTTAAAGTGTATATCATATGGGGTCATAATTATGGGTTCAATTTTCTAACCAGCAACTTAGCTTTGTAGGAACCCATAAGCACAGCAGCATGCTGCATATCAGCCCATGATGCCAGCAGTCTGACAGGAGCCACATGACAACAAGCTACCACTGCCAGGCCAGCACATGTCCTACAGACAGAAACTAGTGCAATCAAAACAGGACACTGTTCCCAAGATTTAACTCTCCCTAACTGACATGTGTCCAGAAACTTTTAACAATCTGATACTATGTAAGGCAGTTTTACTATTTCTTTAAAATAACTTTCATGAGAAGGTACATATGTATAGGAAGACATGACGCAGATGCACATAACATTGATAATTCATTTATAGAACCAAATTCTTTACAAATACAACATTCTAAAAACAAAGGGAGGTAGTGTAAAACATAATTCTACTTTTGGTTTAGACAGAAAAACCAGACAGGAAACTCTGATATATAGAGACAGAGTCATAGATAGAGAGCAGGCAGACAGCTGGGGGACAGTGGAAGGGGGTGGGTGGAGGATGTTGGGGGTGTATGGAGGGATTTAGCAAAAAAGAAAAAAAGAGAGAGAACTCATGGACATGGACAACAATGCAGTGATAGTGGGATCTAGGGGTGGAGGAGGGAGGGCATAAATGATGATGGAAAAAATAAAAAGATATCCAAGTAAGTCTCTAAATGTAGACTGCCTTATAAACCCATGGGAAAAGTGTTGTGCTAGATAATGAAAACCCTAAAAGTGGGCTGCTTTTACTACACTGTCAGTAATATGAGAAAGGAATATTTAAATGCGTAAACTCTTAAATTTTATATAAAGGTCTATATAAAATCAAGTAATTCTGGTAAATGCATAGTTGTTGAATTCTGGTGTTTAAAACTAGGAACAACTCTGTATGGTATCCACAACTCTGTAATTCTCCCATTATACATTTGGTATATACTTTCCATATCAACTCTGCTTTAAACATCTCAAAATACACACACACACACACATACACACAATCCCTGTATTGCCAAGCTTAATCTCAAACTAAATAGATTTTAATTTTTCAATACACCTCAGATTAGGAAAAAGCATATAGTTTATTTCACGTCCTAAAAATAGTAAATATCATATGCTGCATTATTCCTAAAAAGTACAAATAAATTTTTGGAAATAGATTAATTTATAAAGGTAATTTTCCCCAAGGATACCCAAGCATGTTTTTGAAATTTAAGCATAAAATACTTAAAATGTTTAAAATAAGTGTTTGCAAATGAATATCAGAAATCAAGTTATATTCCTTAACATTTAAAAAGGAATTATAAACGTTATGAGGAAAATAAAATTTGAATACTCCCTGAATACCTGTTATTTTATTATTTATTGTTTGTTTGTTTTTGTTTTCCACTGATTTTTAAAGAGAGTGGAAGAGAGAGAGGGGACGACAGAGAGAAACATCAATGTGAGAGAAACACATTGATTGGTTGCCTCCTTCAGGTGCCCATTTTTTTTTCGCCCCACCCACTAGGATAGTGATGGCGAACCTATGACACGCGTGTCAGAGGTGACACGCGAACTCATTTCTTTTGGTTGGTTTTTCTTTGTTAAATGGCATTTAAATATATAAAATAAATATCAAAAATATAAGTCTTTGTTTTACTGTGGTTGCAAATATCAAAACATTTCTATATGTGACACGGCACCAGAGTTAAGTTAGGGTTTTTCAAAATGCTGACACACCGAGCTCAAAAGGTTCGCCATCACTGGACTAGGGCATGGATACCTGATATTTTAAATGTATTGTTAATTTTTCTGTGTACTGGTATTGGGATTATGTTTAAATAGAATATTTCTCTTTCAGAGATATATAATGAAATAAACATAGATGAGATGATATGATACCTGGGATTTGCTTCCAAATGATCTGTGGAAGAGAGGGGGATATAAATAGAACAAAATTGACCATAAGTTGATAACTGTGGAAGCTGGGTGGCAGGCACAGGAAGAATCACTGTACTAATCACTCTAATGTTTAAAATGTAAAAAAAAAAAAAAAGAAGACAGTTTATATATAGTGTTTTTTCACGTTGCAATTAAGTATAGGCAGAAGAACCATATCACATTCTTAGATTAAAATTTACCTTAAGCTTTATACAGCTGTTAATCTTGAGACAGACAAATATAGATCTATCTTACAGATATCTAAAAATCTAATTAGAATAACTACCAGAAACTGTAAATGTGTACTACATTAAATCAAACCAATCACTAAACTGGGGTATTTGACCAAACAACATTAAAATTTCAACTATCACTTATTAAATTCAAAAGAACTCAGAGTAGTTAATTTGTATTATTTATTATAGAACTGGCTTGGAAGAAAACATACCTGTGGACTGTGAAGATCTGTGGTCAGCATAATAATTGAGTAAGCCAGAACATAAGCAGTATCTGCACTAGCAAACAGCGTTTGTCTGAAAAAATAAATGTACCATGTTATAAACTTTTATTGTTTTACAGTTTCATTAAATTAGTCACTTCAAACCCCAAAGCACTTTTTTTAAAAAATATATTTTATTGATTTTATACAGAGAGGAAGGGAGAGGGACAGAGAGCCAGAAACATCGATGAGAGAGAAACATTGATCAGCTGCCTCCCGCACACCCACCACTGGGGATGTGCCCGCCACCAAGGTACATGCCCTTGACCGGAATCGAACCTGAGACCCTTCAGTCCGCAGGACAACTCTCTATCCTCTGAGCCAAACCGGTTATGGCCCCAAAGCACTTTTAATTTACTTTTTCAGGATTTATGTTCTATCTCACATTACAATTTTTAAATGGAACTATCTGATTACCTCCCAATCACAGACAATCTAAGCTTCCTGGGGGCAGAGGATTATGAATCTCCTGATAGTTGGCAACCAGTAAGAATCTGAATCTTGCTTACCCTTGGTTGCATTCTAGGTATCTTGCAGCAAATTTTTCCATCAATCGATCAATTTTCTGAGCTTCCCCTGGAAGACGGAATCCTTCCAGAAACATTCGAAGGGCTGAAACAAAGTCCTTTCCTGAAAAGTCATGTTGGTCCACATATGCATACATGACTTCTTTGTTAAACTTATCATTATCTCCCAGGAATTCACCCACTTGAGTCTAAAGAACAAAAAACAAATTGATTTCCTAATGGAACATTTGCCAGCCATTTAAAAAGCAAAAAAATCCATAAGACCCACAGTTTTTGACTATAGGTTTAACTACTTCAAACATGAAGCTATAAGTTAAACATGCTGAATGTGTTTATATAAAAAAAAATCAAGATATTCTTTTGAATTTAAAAAATTGAAAAGCAAAATTAAGAATACCTACGGTTATTCTTTAAGTTTTACTTGCATACTTGGGAGGGCAACAATACATATCATTATTAACTTAAGAAATTTTATAGAAAAGGTTAGAATGAACTAAAATGGTACTCTTACAGAGTCTAATCTTTCCTCTTGATGTAAGAATTGAGCAATATCTTCAGGTGTAGTGCCAAGCATCCCTTGTTCTTGGAGGTACTGTATTCCTCTCTTTGGTTTCTTATTAAACCTAGATGATATTAAAGTTAATAGTGACATCATAAATAGAAAACCATTTGTATTCCTGGAAAAGACCTTAGTAAATTGATTTTCTAATAGCATTGAGAAAATAGAAACTTATTTAATATAATCTATGCATAAAAATATAAAAATATTATACTATGCAAAGTTTTCCACCTATTAATTCTAAGTTTCCTGCTTTTAAAGTACAAAACTTGAATTCAGTGACTGTTTTAAGCTATAATCTGACAGCATTATTTCCTTTATTAAAAAAGACCTGTAGATACCCAATGTTTTCAAAATAAAAGTCCAAATTGATGATTAGACTGCCACATAAAACCTTTCTTAATATAGCTCATTCATTTTTCATCCCCTCTTCTCATCTACTCCCACATACCCTGTCTCATTCCCTAAACACCATGCATTTGCGGCCCATTTCCTCTGCATGCCCTTCACCTGCTCCCCTCACTGGGGAACTCTCCTTCATGCTTAAAGATCCAATTTAAATGTCACCTCTTTCTTTCCAAATCATTTAATTTCTACTTTTATTGTACCAATAATTACTTTGGTACTTCATCACCTGTCACCTGGGTATTGCAAGCATTCTTAGATGGTCTCCCTATCTCTTGTTTTGTTCACATTCTAATCCATCCTTCAGGCTGCTGGCAAGTCATCTTTCCAAAAGAGGAAATCGGCTGCTGCTGCTCGCTGCTTAAAATCCTTCAATAGTACGCCAATGCCAGGAGGTACAAGACAAAACTCCTTTACATGGCAAATAAGGCCTTCGGTAATCTGGATCCAACACAATGCTTTCATTCCACTTTGCTTAACAATAGTCCCCAAATGTTCTCCCTTTTTTCTCTGGGCTGTTGCATATCTCATTCTTTCTCTGAAATGTCCTTCCCTGTTCTGTCCTCCTAATGGTTTCCCCAGTAAGTCCTAATTCAACCATCACCACGTACACAAATTAAAATCAAACATTTTCACTGAGATAAACATAATCTTTGCTCTACAGAAGCTCTTATTCTAAAGAAAGAAACATGATTTTCAAAAATTACAATAGCAAAAGTGCAACAAATAATGTGTTCATTATTCGTAAGAAGATAGCACAGAAGAAGTGACTAATTTACAGAGACGGTCATGATTTATTTTCAGGGGAAGGTGACTGTGGAACTGAGCTTTGAGGAATAATCACATCTTTCATAAAGAGTAAGAAAAAACATCCTAGAGTGAAATAGGTCAGACTAATACATGAAAGCATAAAACAGCAAAATAAATAGTTCGGCATTGATGGAGCAATGAAGTGAGAAAAAGAAGTGGCAGGTGATAAAGTTTAGAGTTCGGCAGATCCAGGTTGTGGCCTTATTCTTTAAGAGCTAGAGAGGGGAAAAACAGAACTAAGACTTTCATTCAAAAAGAATAGTTGTGAGAAAAGACTAGAGAATAAATAAGACCAAACAAAGGTGAGCTAATTAGATTATACTATTTATTTAGTGACAAATCCAAGGGGGAAATCTAAGGTAACTCCCCAAAATTTTAGCTTATAAATTTAATAACATCCTGGGGTTACTATCCTCAATAAAAAAAAATACAGAAAAAGTGAGTTTTCTGTTTGTCTTTTGTTTTGGGTAGGAGTATTGGGGAGTTGACTATGGAGAGAATGTAGACTGATAAATCTGATTATGGACATGCTGAGTGGAAGAAGCTATGCAATACTCCCAACAGGCAATGACAGATGAGTCTGCATGTCAGTGGAGGTATTTATGTTAACACTTGGTAGTGAGATGTTAGTAAATAGCTGAAGTCATGAAAAAGAACACAATCATGTAGGACAGCGGTTCTCAACCTGTGGGTCGTGACCCCTTTGGCGGTCGAACGACCCTTTCACAGGGATCGCCTAAGACCATCCTGCATATCAGATATTTACATTATGATTCATAACAGTAGCAACATTACAGTTATGAAGTAGCAACGAAAATAATTTTATGGTTGGGTCACAACATGAGGAACTGTATTTAAAGGGCCAGAAGGTTGAGAGCCACTGATCTAGGAGAAGACACGAAGTAAGATAAAGGCTAAGGGACAGAACCCTTAAAATGCTAAGAGATATGCAGGAGATAAACAGCCGAGACCAAGACTGAGAGGGCATGATCAAACTGGAAGAAGGGACGGGACAGAGCAGTGTCATGGCAGGAACAGCTGTGAAAGAGGGCACTGAGCACAGCCGCAGGAAAGCACTCCATGGAAGTCTGCGGCAGAAAGCAAGTCTCATGGCTGGAAGGAGGGCTGGAGACTAGTGGCTGACAGCAGGGAACCTCCACTTTAAGTCCTATGACAACTCCCTCTCACAGCTAAGTACTTCACGAGAGCTGTCACACCTCGGCAGTACCTGTACAACACTCTCTTACGGACTTTACACAGTACCAGTTAAAAAGAATGTTTTGCCAAGACTTAGACTGTCATCTTGAACACAAGGACCAGTGTCTCCATGGTTCTTGGCACACAGTCCCAAGTACCGAACGTGTTTGCTGAGTGACCAGCCGCACTTCAGCATGAGTATCTGCTGACACTACTGGATCTTGAGCCCTATAAGTAAGGGATATCATTTCTTCCAGGACCCTGCACAATGTCTGGAACACACGACAGTTTGTAAATAATGACAGAAAAATTAGAATGAAGTATTCATGGCAACTTCTCGAGGCAATTTTGTGAGATTTATAATTTTATGACAAAGAATATGTGTACATTTTGTCAGTTTTAAAAAAGGTACAAATAACCGTAAAAAAGGCATTCATCAAAGGCATTGCTTAAGAGTCGGGAAGAAATGCTTTAAAACAGAAGGAGCAAGCTGACTAAACAAACAGGGAATTTTTAATAGTTTACAGTAGCTATATTCATGGAAAAAGGCATCTCTTTGAAAAAAGAGATGGGTAATAGGAGGAACAGCAGAATGGTACTACTTAGACAAGAGATAGTCCAGAAGCAGGCTGCTATCAGTTTAGTAGCCAGATTGGAAAGGGTCATTATCACTATATGAACATATAAAAAAGAAATTAACAAAAATGGATCAATAACATAAGTAGCACATTTGTAACCCAGGTGAAGAAAATATAAAACCTATAAAGGAACAACACTAACTAGTTTCATACTTTAAGTTTTTTTAGCTGTCACCTGCTTAGGAAATATACTGGGGGATTTTAAAACTGAACTAAATAAATAACACAAAACTGCAGACGCATAAAACAGCATATAAAATGTGTGCAAAATTAATTTAATGTGCATTACAAAGTCTGTTGGGGCTAGACTGCAATGAAAAAGGGGAGCTGGTTAAAGAGCCAGCAGAAGTCAGCAAGATTTTGCTGTTTTACTCAATAGAAGGTGGTGATAAGAAGAAAATAAAAATATTCCAAAGATTCAGAGAAACCCAGGGCAATGGTGGCACAGTACAGGTAGAGGGATATCCAAGAAAATTTCTCTTTAAAATCAGACACTCACAAATCTATCCCTTGTTCTATTATTTCTTTTTGTTGTTTTAAGACTTCAAACTGTTCTGGATTATCAGTGCCAGACATCTGTGTGCTGTAGCTGCCTATTCCTGATGATGATGTTGACTCCAGGGAATTTAAACTTCCGTATCTGTTTATTGTCTCAGGGTGTTTGATATCACTTGTCTCTTGTTCTGAGGGTTTTTCCTGACCTGTAAGTAGAAAAACTGATACAGTAAATTACTCAAAAAAAAAAAAGTAAAGGTAAAAAAAAATCCAAGATATTGGCAAGATATTTCACTGCTGCTTAGGTATCTGTTTAATACAAATAAAATATCAGGTGCCATATATACATATACAATTTACATCGTTAAAAAGAGTTCCTTTTGCAGTCACAGTGCTGAGTGTCTGCTGGGTTTCAGCTCTCAGCTCATGACCACCAGTTTTCCTATAGTAACTTGGCTAAGATAACACCACGTAGCCCTGCAACTATGAGATTTTCTCTGAGTAAGGATAAATCTCAAACATGCACAAACAATTCCATCCTCTTATAACATACTTACTTTTATATATTTCTTCTATAACTATACTTTAAAAAGTTGCATAAATATGCTTCACTTTTATATAATACTAGAGGCCCAGTGCATAACATTCATGCAGGGCAGGAGGGAGGATCCCTCAGCCTGGCTGCACCATCTAGCAGTCTGGGAACCCCGAGAGGTCCTTGGTGCTGCTGTGGAGGTAGGAGAGGCTCCTGCCACTGCCGGTGCACTCACCAGCCATGAGCCGGGCTTCTGGCTGAGCAGTGCTCCCCTGTGGGAGCACACTGACCACCAGATGGCAGCTCCTGTGTTGAGCATCTGCCCCCTAGTGGTCAGTGCGCATCATAGCAACCGGTGCCGTTCAGATGACTTCCATATTAGGATTTTATTATATAGGATTCAAAATACTCCTAGAAAGAGTAAAGTTTGGATAACTAAGCTAAGAAATTCATTATTTTAAAGCTCATTATTGAAGTTACAGACAATGCTTCTTCATCAGCTAAATGAATAGAGACATCATGAAACTGGTTTAATGGCATCTGCAACTAGCCTCCAAAGTATCATTTGCTTAAAATGATGAAGAATTATACTCAAAATGTCACCTTACCAAGAGTTGTCTGAGAGTTGGGGTTCACGTACTGATCCTTACTCCATTCAACCATGCACTTCAAAATCGACACTAAGCACTCTAAACCTTTTTTCCTCAGGCTTAATTCCTACAGAATAATTCAGAATAAGAATACAAACAAGATCTTTTAAGCAAAACACATAGCACTTCCTTGGCAAAGTTTAAATTTGAAAATGTTTTTAAAGTTCTTACCTGAACATTACTCATACCAAGTTCCTGACTGCCCCGGCCTTGAGCAATTTTTGACAGATCATTTACTAATCTTTCAAATATATTTGCTGCATTTAAATCACAGTCATAGTTTACATAAATATCCACTACACTCTGAGCATCTGTAACAATACAATATATTAATTAACAAAGGGCATCTAGTATATGAGTATATTCAACCTTTTAAATATCTCATTATAAGAAAGAGATAATATGGATAATTTCAAATACCTGCACAAATCCTTGTCAATGTCTGAATAACCATCCATTTGTGGTCAAACGAGCTGGTAGAAGTTTCCAAAATATATAGGAAAATTTCTTTAAAGAACACCTGTGATTAGGGGAAAACATTTGTTTTTAAATATTACTTATAATTCATAAATGTGATCACTTTTTAAATATTCCGAAGTTGCAGGACAGAGACTAGGATCCAGGTTCCTCTGGAGTCAACTCTTTTGAGTCCATCTCTGAAACATCAGGACTAAAACCACTAGGGGGGTGAGTGAAACGAGCCCTTGCAGGAGGAGCACTGTACTTCACATTAATTTGTTTGCTATCACACAGCCACTACAAAAGAAGTCTACAAAGATTTGGAGTTCCTCTGAATAATTTCCTGAACATATTTACGAAACTAATATAACTCATAATTCATTTTAACACCCCAGAAAGCATAAATCATATTCTGTTCATCAGTCAGATGGGGTGGGCCAAATCAAGTTTACAGTTGTGAGTATGGGAAACACAGAGTTTATTCTTGTATTATTTTTTTTAAATATATATTTTATTGATTTTTCCACAGAGAGGAAGGGAGAGGGATAGAGAGAAACATCGATGAGAGAGAAGCATCGATCAGCTACCTCCTGCACACTCCCCATTGGGGATGTGCCTGCAACCAAGGTACATGCCCCTGACCGGAATTGAACCTGGGACCTTTGAGTCCACAGGCTGATGCTCTATCCACTGAGCCAAACCGGCTAGGGCTATCCTTGTATTATTATTTATTAATTACTGTACTATTTTCCATACAAACAAGTGTAAGCCTATTTTTGTCCCACCCTGCATTTTTCAGACATTATAATACTGAGCAAACCTAATTGTTCCTAGTTTTAAAAGTAAGTAATGTGTAGACCACATAATAAAAATTATCTAATGCCCTAACCAGTTTGGCTCAGTGGATAGAGCACTGGCCTGTGGACTCAAGGGTCCCAGGTTCAATACCAGTCAAGGGCATGTACCTTGATTGCAGGCACATCCCCAGTAGGGAGTGTGCAGGAGGCAGCTGATCGATGTTTCTCACTCTATATCCCACTCCCTTCCTCTGTAAAAAATCAATAAAATATATTTTTAAAAAAATAAAAAGTATCTAATTATCCAATTCTCATGGACTATTTTTATCATTACTCACACAAGTGGAAATCTCCATTGTCTGAAAACTACAAACTATTTTTCACTATTCTTTTAGGCCAAATAATGTCAAGCACAAAAGAGCTAACCTAATTAAATAAATTTCAATTTAAGAGCTAAGAATTTTTAGATTCAAATTTATTTTGGAAAAGTGACTGTGACTTAGAGGGGATGGCTGAAAAGTAAATCAGAAAACAACATACTATATTAACACTTATGGATCAAAGAGGCGCATGCACCCGAGGGGTCCCTCAGCCTGGCCTCGGGATTGGGCCGAAACCGGTTCCCCGACATCCCCCGAGGGGTCCCAGATTGAGAGAGGGTGCAGGCCAGGCTGAGGGACCCCACCAGTGCACAATCAGGGCTGGGGAGAGACACCAGAGGTTGGCCAGCCAGGGAGGGACCGCAGGAGGGTTCCAGGGCATGTCCGGCCTCACTCAGTCCCGATCAGCTGGAGCCAGCAGCAAGCCAACCTACTGGTAGGAGTGCCTGACCCCTGGTGGTCAGTGCACATCATAGCGACTGGTCAAACAGTCGACTTATGACCCCTGGTGGTCAGTGCACATCATAGCGAGCAGTTGAGCAGCCTTAGCATATCGTTAGCATATTACGCTTTGACTGGTTGAAGGGACAACCAGGCAACTGGACAACTGGACACTTAGCATATTAGGCTTTTATTATATAGGATATGTACTATGAACCTAGAAATTCGTATTTACAATGAACGATGATTAACATGCCTCCCCAATTTGGATAAGGTAGCCTTGTAATGTGCTTTTCTTTCATAAAACTCAACACATTTCTAGTACTTGCCTAATGTCATATTTCCTATAAGACTGTAACCTCTAAGCAGGTAGGAGCCAAGTCTTTCCTGCCAACAACAGTGTCCACACTGCATGGCATTTAGTAGGCATTCAATAAATATTCATGGCCACAGTTCCCAAACTGCACCAATGTGCCCCAGAATGCTACAACAAACTCAGGGTTATCATGAGAATTTTTAAGATAAAATTCACAGAGAAATACATCTGTTGGACACCTTGCAAAATTGTTCAGTGTCATTAGATCAGTTAGATCTCACTACATTCCTTTCAAAGCCATCATTATTTTTGCAAACCTGGGTTTTAGTGGTTGCTATGATAAAAAGCAGGTACTGAGCCCTGGCCGGTTTGGCTCAGTAGATAGAGTGTTGGCCTGTGGACTGAAGGGTCCCTGGTTTGATTCTGGTCAAGGGCACATGCCTGGGTTGCGGGCTTGATCCCCAGTGGGGGGCGTGCAGGAGGCAGCCGATCGATGATTCTCTGTCATCATTGATGTTTCTATCTCTCCCTCTCCCTTCCTCTCTGAAATCAATAAAAATATATTTTTAAAAAGCAGATACTGAATCAAAATCAATAAAGAAATGGTTATGAGGGTGGCAGTATCCAATTTGATTCCAAGGTCTGAGCAGTTGTACAGTATCCAATATGCACATATATTCTAGTAGTCAGTAATTGTGATAATTTAAAACTGTATTTTCAGAAACAGATATATAAGTTAATGCCCATGGAAAAACCACATTATAGAAACTCTGAAGTGAATATTCTCATTAAATGAATCTTCACTTAACATCTCAATTTTGTTTTGCAGTTTATGTTTTCAGACCTTGGGCTTTCTCCAACAGCAACACAGCTTCTCTTGCATTTGAATGTTTAAGTATTTTCAAAAGCATATCTACACTTACCTTCTTTTATCCTCATAATCTCCCCTTAAGAGACAATGCAGAGTGAATAAACTTGATTTCTTTTAAGAAACATTACAATAATTTTGTAATAAGAGCCTACCATCCATGAACAGACAGGAACTTCCTTGAAGTATTTCTCTTTAAATTTGTCCTTAGCAAAAACTTTGTATATAAAATTTACTCTATAAAAATAGTAATCCCAACTTAAATTATGTTTGTGATATTGATTCTGTAAGAAGTTATATTTCACACAGTCTACTAATAGTACTTCATGAAATAGAGTCTCTGTCCAAAATTCTGTTAAGTAACTGAATGCACAGTCTTCCAAATTCTTTAATGACAATTAAATGTCTCTATCAAATGAGAGACTTTTAGCTGGTTATATAAGCAAAAGTTCCAAAAGTTTTTTAAAGTCTCTTTTATTTTCAGTTCCTAAAGATAATGAGAAAAAAACTGTGTAAAAATAACAACTGTTTTGGTTAAATGACCTGTATTATTTTAGTAGACATATGACAAATTTCTTAAATTTGACACCATGTATGGGCCAGAAACTGTTCCCTGTCCAAAAATATGGTCCAAATTGAACAACGTTTCACTTAATTTACCAAGGTCTTATTCTGCATCACTCCCATAATAATGTTCTAAATGAATTTAAATAGATACTACAGAACATTAATAAAGATATGTTTATCTTTACCATCTACAAACTCTGGGAAAATAACAATTTATCCTTTTCTTGAGGAAATGAATTATTAGTCTTGAGTTAGGATTAAATATAAAATTATTAAAAATTATGATGTAAACTGTATGTCATAACAAATACAAAGTGAATGTGAAAGTTGACCAGCATGAAAGTGAGTTTTTGTAAAATATACAATGTCCCAACCCAAACAACATTATAACAAATGACAAGCTGGAAAAGGTATCCATTAAATCACCAAAACATCAAGTACTATTTTAAAATACTGAATTATTTGAAGGTGAAAACAAAAGATCAGTAACTTCTACACCTGCATGATACATGCAGGCATGGTTGGAAGATTCCCTAATTCAGTTTTGGTAAAACTCTGGAAATATTTTATTTTATGATTGATTTATTTTCCTTAGTAATCCACATGGTCCAAGGCATGAGCCAGGCATGGGCACAGACCTAAAGCCAAGCTGGGATAAGCAAGGAGTTTTTCTGTCCCTGGCTGATTCAAGACAAGTATCACCAAACCAGGTGCCACTCTACCCAGGTCAAGGACATCTGAAAATACTTTAGAACCACATGACAGTTATTTTATTTTCAAAAATGTGTATGAATACAGTAAGTACATTAAAAAATATATAAAGCAAAAATTAAAATTTCAAATGTCCTAAAATAAAAAATATAACCCTTCTCAATCACCTTTTTAAATTGTTAAAACTTGAATGACTTAAAAAACCATGTACACAAAGTATGTATTTTGAGCTTTCTTTTAAGATAACCAAAAACACTATTACATACTATATACACAATGGCAAAGTTATTGTGAGGACCAAGTTAATTCCAGACAACTAGAATTATTCATACAACTAGTGCAAATTCCTTGAAGGTAGGGCTGTGTCTTAATTTGATTTTGCATTCTTAGTGCTCACCTAATGCTTAGCACTTTGTAGGTACATGTTAGTTGAATGAGTGAATAAAAAGGTAAATACTAATACACATAATAAAAAGGTAAATATACAGATATTTCACATTCTGAAAAACTTTCCAGTGTATTAATCATTTGACTTAACATGAAACAAATGAAAGTGCAATAACGCCTTAATGCAGAACATACCTCAATTTGCATCTTTAGGTGTGTCTTGAAGTTTGATAACAAAGTAAGAAATATGGAAAGGGAAAGCTCAAAAACCTCTGGCACAGAAGAGACTCCATTTTTTGAGAGTGCAACACACAAATACTGCTTAATAGCATTAATAAACATCTCATTTGTCCTGAAAACAGGTCCTGCATTCTGCAGAATGGATAGAAGTAACTGCAATGAAAGAATCTTGGATCGTAACTCATGAGACCTAAAATGTAAAAAAAGAAGGCATAGTGTATGGACAAGTTAACATTATGGTAATAATAGGTTGTTCCTAAGGTATTTCCTGGTACCATATAATTTCACAAACTTTTAAATAAAGAGGAACAGAAAACTCTACAACATAAAAAAACAAACAAACACTACAGTACATGAATAAGCTCAAACACTAATAATGGGTAGTTTCATTGATGTTTTCCTGTACCACAAAATTTCACAAACTTCCAAAATGGGAAAACAATCACTCATAATTTTTAACACCAACCTATTGTTCCCTTGAACAAAAAAATAATTTCAAGATTTATGACTTGTTCCTTTCTTTCAAAAGCATGCTTCACTTTTTAGAAATAATAATTAACTTCTCAGATTATGTGTCTTCCTTAATATATAATAGATCCAATGTACTTTCTTCCTAGTTATACTATTCAAAAATCTTAAACACTAAGTTTTGGTTGCACAACTTCAAGGTTACTTTTTAAGGAACCATTTTATTTTATTTTTGACATATATACAAAGAAGCTTTTAGAACATTTATATCCCTTAATAGCTTACCAACTAAATATTTTTATAGTAAAAAACTAAAAACCACATTTTTAACTTAACATTTTTTTCTGATCAGTACACTATGCTATAATTCTGATCACTATCCAGAATTTTAGTAATCAGATTTCACAAATATAATTTTTCTCTCATTGAAACAGACCTCTGAAACTCATCAAACTAGGGAGGATCTAACCCGGGCAACTTTTCAAATGCAGGATACACTTAAATGCTCTAGCAGCTGGTTCTTTTATTTTTTCATTACAAATGCTATATTCAGTCACATTTACACCATACAGTAAATTTAACTGATCTTCATTTCTACCTTAAAAATGTCATGGTTAGGAGTGTCAAGTGATTAAAAAAAGTAAGAAACTCTAACAAGGAATATTTAATTTAATGTAAATGGGAATCACAAAAATATTACCATCTTTGAAATAAAACCAGAACCAATAATATCATGGCTCATTATGACAATCATGTTTCCAAGATGTCTATGCTTCTGAATGTAATAACATATGCAGCAAATTCAGTATTACAAAAAAAAAAAAAAAGTTCAGATGCATGAAGTTAGGAACAACTAGAGCTAAAACTTTGAATAGCTATAGGAAAATATGGAGTGGGCCAAGTTATCTCCCATTCGTATTGAAGCTTTCCAAGGTTTATAAACTACTACTTCCTAGTCTGGCTCACATTTATCATACTTTTTGCTCAGTTCTACTAGTAAATAAAATCTACACTTGTAAGACATGATTTTTTGTTATAAGAATGTTTTCTCTTGCCCTGGCCAGATAGCTCAGTTGGTTAGAGCATCCTCCTGACATACCAAGGCTGCAGGTTCGATCCCTGGTCAGGGCACATACAAATCAGTTTCTTTTTCACCCTCTTTTCCTCTCTTTCTAAAATCAATCAATACATAATTTTTTTTAAGAGAATGCTTTCTCTTTGTATCCCCAAGCATCTAACAAAATGCCTTGTACATAGTATGTGCTCAAAATAATTCATGGATTTATTCATGTACTCAAATATTAAATATCTACAATGTATAAGGCATTAATGAATGAAGCAGTGACCAAATGATTGTCCTATGACACAATAGCTTTTACTTTTATTACTATTATTTTATTAAAATAATAAACTTTATTATATTATTTTTATTAATTTTAGAGAAAGGAAGGGAGAGGGACAGAGAGATGGAAACATCAATCATGTGCCTTCTGCACGCCCCCTACTGGGGATTGAGCCTGAAACCCAAGCATGTGTCCTGACTGGGAATCAAACTGTGACCTCCTGGTTCATGGGCCAATGCTCAACCACTGAGCCACACTGGCTGGGCAGCATATACTTTTGATATGCAAAAGAGAAGGTGGAACAACCGGTCACTATGACTTGCACTGACCACCAGAGGGCAGATGCTCAATGCAGGAGCTGCCTCCTGGTGGTCAGTGTGCTCCCACAGGGGGAGTGTTGCTCAGCCAGAAGCCGGCTCACGGTGGGTGAGTGCTGCAGCAGTGGCGGGAGCCTCTCCCACCTCCGCGGCAGCGCTAAGGATGTCCAACTGACGGCGTAGGTCCACTCCGGGGAGCGGGCCTAAGCTGTCAGTCGGACATCCCTGAGGGCTCCTGGACTGTGAGAGGGCACAGACCGTGCTGAGGGACACCCCCCACCACCACCACCAGTGCATGAATTTCGTGCACTGGACCTCTAGTATTCTTATAAAATATATAGGGTATAATTGAGTTTATACTGCAATCTAAGCAACCTTAATTCTTTCTCTATAGAGTTCATA